CGCGCATCTGACACCATCACATACACCACACAAACGTGTCCCACACCGTCCACCGCTGGCACAGAGTAGGCACCTCCCGCCTAAGTGGGAAGCGTGATCTTCGGCACCTCCGTGTGACCCCTCTGCTACTCTAACACATACGAAATACTGGTTTATGCGTGGGCAAATCGTGCGTGTGGCACACGTCGACAAGCTGTCTTAGCTCTGCCAGCCACTGCTCAATCTTGGCATCCGTCAGTTGACCGGCTCGGATAATCAATTGGCACACGAAAGAGGGAAGTGAGATCGACCGTGGAGAATCTATTCCTACGGAACTTCTGCGCATTACTCACTACAAACAATCTGCGCCCTTGCAACTACCATGACGAGCTAGGCGCTAAGACTTTGGAGGTGGCCAACCGACTGTACAACTCAAGTCTCGCAATCGGTCCTGAGTGTGTGTGGTGTCCGACTGCTGGACTGAGAGTCAGGCACAATGGCTCCTGTCTAGTTATGCCTCTACGGCACTCTCACGCATGTGAGATCCATGTCGCCCACCCTATTTGCGTAGAGTCCTGGTGTGCCATGCGGTGAGGCAGGTCGTGTTCGTAGCACGCGTAGACGAGCTGTATAATTCTATCATCCATCGTGCCCAATCCCTGCATAGAATGACTGACCAGCCCCGACAGTGAACCGTTGCCTAAGTGAGAGAAGAGAGAGTGCAGTCGACTCTGAGGCCTTCGCTCTCATGGCACTGGCCGCAGACTCCTCACTAGAAACAATATGACACGCTTTTAAACTATCACGGTTTGCTAAACGACGTGGCTTGGAAGGCTGCCAGCCAATGGGACAACTCGATCCTCTCAGGACGGAGAGTTTGGCTGCAATTGTGCCTCAGTTTGGCCTCGATGACACTACTACTCAGCTGGGATCCGGGCCGCCCTTTGTTGTTTTAGCGAAACTCTGGTCTTTTGAGCGCGGACCAGGCGTGGGTGGCACCCTCAGACGGGCTACTTAACCTAATTATCCCATGGTCCGACTACGTTTCAGGTCTTCTTGACTCTGTCTTGACACTGGGCTCAGGAGGGTAGGGGAGATGGAAGCGCAGAAAATGGAGCGCAGGCTGGCTATCACCATAAACTAATTTACGCGCAACTCACCAACCCTGTTGTGGGGCACACGGCGGACATCTTCAGTAAAGAAGATCGAACTGCCGTTGGGGTGGTTACGCGTCGTCACTGTTCCCGGCCGATCGAAATTTGTTCGAGTCTAATTAGCCAGAACCCAATTATCTATGAGTACTGACAAAACAGACTGAATGTATATGGGCTATGCAGACCACAACGGGTCGGAGTCGCAATTAACGGCCGGTCACGATCTCTGTTCCAAATGCAGACTAAATCCTTAATCTTGTTGAAATCAATTGGAACCGTGGCCCCAACAAGTGAAACAAATTCTGCCGATATGTATATATACAATCGTATTTCTGTTCTTTAGAACTTGCCCAATTAACAAACCACAGTGCGAACAGAAAAAACGCCAAGTACTGCATTCGGTATGTCCACGTTGGGCTATGGCCCACGGTGCAGCATGGGTACAGATGTTTTCAAGTATGCAGCTGGATCTAACCCCCTGTCGTCAGCGCAATCTCTTTATCGCAAATTCGCCTGTGAAAACCAATTACTAACTCATGTCTATCAATGTTTTCGGTGAAGAATATCATGTGTTAAAAACTGTCCTGAACTCACAATGGGATGAATGTGGCAGTAGGGGATTCTGTTGAGAATGCTCGGAAGCATGCTTCATAATCGATTGGATGTAGCTAGGCAGTAACAATAAATACACACAAATAAGCACGTTAGTGACATTTTAACCACATCTCTTATGTACTGAACAGAAAGATGCAAACCAATAGCTCCTACACTAAGGAATATGAGGGTAACTGCTAGGACACTGAGTCTGTCTCGCTGCTTTATCAACAAACTGGAGTAAGAATATCTGCGTTCGCAGGACTCACGGGTCGATCAAACCTGCCAAGGTTATCTTTTATAGGAAAACAGAAGTCGATCGGATCGATCTCCGCAAGGGCCGCGACGAATCGCCGACCATCCACTGAGGTGAGCAGAGAACCGCTGGCGTAAAAACGGGAAATTTGGCTGCCATTGGGGTTTGTAGCATTTCCTTTACAATTCGAGGGCTCAGATGGCTCTTTTGAGGGCATTTTGTTCGCATCGTTATGCTCGATAAGACAACTCAAGAGATAGGCAAGATTCTACAAAAAAACAAATTAGAAGTTCACATTGATGTACAACAGGCATCAGAACCCATCAACCAACGATAAAATGCGCATATACGCCCCTGAGTAGAAAGAAACACTTAAATAAGCAAGGATTCAAGTTGATTACTGTCATAATGGTCCAGATTAAGTCAAACTGTGGCATGCATCGGTGGGGTTGGTGGAATAACCCAAAAATCAGAATCACAAGACTAACTGCCGGCGAGAGTTCATTGATGGTCGCCCATTTTTTCGGACACGGTGCGCCAGGGTTCCAGTGGGCCTATCCGTCATAAAACACACACTAGGTGGTACGCATATTTTTTAGACTTCCAAAAACGAAGATCATGTTGCGAAAATTTGCTAGATACTAAAATTTCGAGAATCCATAAATTATGTTATTCGAGAAAGAAAGTCGTTATCTTCTACAAAGTGTTTATAAATAATGCGGAAAAACTGCCGAAAATACACACACAGACGAGCACTTGCACTTTTTGTACGCAAAACAAGCATCAACTAAGAATCTCGACACTAATTTGTTAGTTTTTTCCTGCTACTGCAAAATACAACTGCGCAGTTCAGCTCATCTGCGAGTACCTGTGCTGCTAGTATGGCATCTTCTGACCCTAAAATATACTACTAGCTGCATGTTGGCAGTTAATGAATATCACGCGGTCATCCCGCTGTGGCTGATGGACTTTGGACCAAATATTCATGCACCAAATTTCGGTCTGCGCCTATAGACCTTAGCGCATACTGATCTACTCCAAGTTCGCAGTTAATTTCTGAGGAAATTAAAAAGCAACAATTTGTTAACTGGATTATCTACCAGAAAGCAACTCATCAGCGAGTACCTGTGCTGCTAGTATGATATCTGGTGACCCTAAAACAGTATTATTTACATCGCACCTACTTTTAGCGTTAAATAAGCCGGATCCGGCCAATTCACCTGGACCAGATGAGATCTCAGGTGTACTCCTATGCCAACTGGTTGAAGAATTAGCAGAACCACTCTGTATAATCTTCCAAAGATCGCTGAAAGCTGGCAAACTACCTGACACATGGAAGTTGGCAAACGTCGCACCTATCCACATGGGAGGATCATGGCCATGCCCCACCAACTACCGGCCGGTAAGTCTGACATGCATTTGCTGCAGGCGGATAGAGAGGATAGTTAAATAATCAATTACACCGCTCGATACATTCGTTGTGACATCAGCTCAGTTCAACATGGTTTCTGTAAAAAGAGGTCCTGTCTCACAAACCTGCTTACGTCGATCGAACATTGGTCAAAGGCTATGGATGAAGGACATCCAGTAGATGCCACCTACTCTGACTTCGGCAGGGCGTTTTATTGCTTTCCATATACACCACTCGTTCAAAAGTTGTCGGGCGTACGGATATGAGGGAATCTCTTGAACTGGATTCAAGATTTGTTAAACGGTCGCAGACAAAAAAGTTACCGCGGGTGGCTACTGCTCAGGGTGAGCGCCTGTTAACGGTGGAGTCCCAAAAGGGTCAGTTCTTGGGCCCCTCCTATTCATCATCCATGCAAATGATCTAGTACGGGAAGTGAAATCGGACATGGCGCTCTTTGCGGGTGATCTTAAACTGTGGACGGTAAAATATGACAAAGACACCAAAATGCTACATGACGACGTAGAAATTTGCACGCGTGGAACGAGAAGTGGTGCATGAAATTCAACGTCAAAAATGTGTGGTACTGAAAATAGTATCAGCAAAGCGAAGAAGAAATGCACCCTCACGACAGTATCTCCTGGACGATCATGCACACGAAACCGTAGATGTGTAAAACGATCATGGCATATTCGTTAAAGACGACTTAAGCGTCACCACGCAGTGTTCTAAAGTCGCAGCGCGAGCAATGCCAATAATGAACGCGATACGAAGAACGTTCATTAATTTAAATGGAGGTCTTTCCAAAGACCTCCTTGCCGGCAAGGTGTATGGGACAATTTGCGGCCGCACCTGGAATACGCGGTACAAGCTTGACCGCCGTGGTTTCGAAAGGATATTGATGTTCTTGGTGTACAGAGAAGTGCTACAAAGGCTGTTCATGAACTCAAAAATTTTCCGTACGAGCAGCGCCTGACGGCCTTGAATCTCTATCCTCCCGCTGTAGGCAGGACAGAGGCGACCTCATAGCAATGTTTCAGCTGCTAAGAAGACTTGATCTGGATGTCGACTGGGAAAGTCCTTTTGAAATAGCACTAAAGACTAATCTTAGGCGGCACGATTGCCAGTTTAAAAAAGAACTGTGCCACACAAATCAACGTCCTTTCTTCTTCTCTTTAAGTCACTCGCCAGTGAAATTCTTTGCCGACCTATGTTGCGAATTCCCCTACCGAGAGCGTGTTCAAGAGACATCTGGATAATTACCTGTTAAACGGCAACCTGAACTCCCCAAGCCCGCCCCAGTGGGCTACTAAAATGGCCATCAACATACTACCAACGTGAATTCAACGGATCCTCTTGTGACCAGATGAAAATGTTCACAGTGCGAATGAGTTGGGTGGTTTTTTCACCGTTATTTCGCAAATGCCACACCTTTTTCACATTTATGTCCGACCACTAGCTTTATGCATTCTGCATACCAAAACTCTATGTAAAATGTTTCCACTCTAACTATTTTCCATTCACGTCCGTGCCGTTTAAATGGAGCTGAAAGGGTTTCTGTCATTTACTCCATATATACTGACCGATACTGACTGGCTTGCTAATAACCGATTCGCCCACCCCATAAATTGCCCTACATATTAGTTGAATCCCATTAAAGAAAGTCGTGTAAAGATATGCCTTAACCGGGGTTATATTACAAACAGCATGCGGGAAGATAGGCTGCTAGTGAAAAACCGAATCCCTTGCAATTAAATCATGCAGCAGCATTGAAATCGACAAATCATCGTAGGAACTCTCGCTGAGAGTGTAAACTGTACAGTAAGCAACGTTCGACTGATTACTATGGTTTTTCTACTGTAAAGTGTGCAAGTTCATGATATGAAAACAGTTAGCGTACCTTACTCATCAGAGCTTTCCTCAGCCAAAGGCGCGCCTTCCCAAGGCCTGTTTTCACCTCGTCAATTTCCTCAACTTCATTAATGAGTGATCGGCCCCTGACAAGGGGAGATGTTGCACGGCAAATAACTGTCCATGGGTCTATAGCACAGACAAGCAAACTGTCTGTGCCCGAAAAACCTGTCAAGTGGAAAAAGGAATCCGAATCCTGGTTTCGCGCACGCTTACAAACCACGCCATGACACAGTCCGCACTCCAGAGCATTGAGTAGTTGGGATAAGACCTCCGTGGTCGGCGAATACGGCTCTTCGCTTTCATCATCAAATATTATGGCAGTTTGATGTTGGTCAGAAAGTAGGTCATGAAGCTTCGCGATGCACCTCTCAAGTACAAATAGTATGTTGCGACGTTCAACATCCATTGGCGCAAGGAAAAGGGAAAGGCATCCTAAAATTACGATTTTCTGTCAGCCATCTCTAAAATTGAAAAAAATACGGTCGCGTGGACGCTTGGAAAAAAGAAGTTCAGTGAAACTGAGAAGTAGTTCAGTGCTTGCATGATCATTTCTGTTGCTCTCATCGAAAGTCGCCGAATCCGTAGTTTTCGTGAAGTTTAATGAAGAAATGGGAGATTTATACGCGTTGCGGATTGTCGCGAGATTCAAGCGACCGAAAAGAGGTGCTTCGATTTTCGTCCCGTTATGCTTTGGTCAACCACTTGCCTAAATTCATTTCTATACGCGGTCGTCTTAGGCATTAGAAAGTCCACTGGATACGCACGCATTTACAATTAGACACCATGCACTCAGACAAGAACTATGGTTGAATGTTATTACCGACTACGGTTGTTTACGATACCAACTGCCTCGGATGTTTTACCTAACTTGTGTGTTGGTGAAAGTTCCGGACATAAAACATGTTATATGCTAGTGATCGATGACGGCAAATTCACTTAGGTCAGCTAAAAATCAGGTCAGTAATTCATCTTAGCAATGGTTAGAACGCGCCGTAGCACCGCAAGTGGACTTGTTGGTAAAGCCAAATATTAAAATTTCGACGATTTATGTGACAAAAAGCACAGCTCATAACTTTCCAAAAATTATGCTCTGCTGCCTACGAATGATACGGGTGATCAAAAAAGTAGCCTGACGAGGTTGGAGACTTCAGGCAGCCAATTGATACGTATCTCTCCCAATTTCTCTAAATAAGACCAGAAGCTATCTACTCTAACCCGGGAATTAGCAACGCTCATGCTGACCAAAAGTATCGAAATCCAGAAATGTCATGAAGACTAAGGAAAAGGAGGTGATCTGAGGAACTAAACTTTCACTAACTGGTATGGTCGTAACAAAGCGTGTCACATGGACTTCGGTCATGACATGAACGGCTTCATAAAAGGGAATTCGATACTACTGGTACTGGCAGTGTGTCCAAGGTCTCCAGCGTCGTAGCCTGTTTGATGCACCTTGCATCTGTATGGAGACGGCAGCACTGCTGAAGATAGTAGATATAGATACCAATTCAGCAAGTATCGCTACTCTTGTTCCCACAGGCGGTAATCCCCTACTTAGCGTTTGCGTTATTGTCCTCGCCTGTTCCATTAGTCAAGGCTCGCGTGACAAAGATGCGCCGATAAAGTCCGAAGGAGGATGGCAGAGAGGGTGATGAACTTTTGACCCGCATACGGCATCCGAGAACACAGACCTATGGGCATCCCAAAAGTCGAACAACTATGCATGTGTTTTCAAAGTTGCCTGGCTCACTCATGATCCCTCCAGCGTCTGAAGTATGGATGAACGCAGCACCGAGGGTCCCCATGATCTGTATGCAAAGTGTGCTGGCGCAATGAAATGCGGTCAGGCAGCAGCGCGAACATCGCATCCTGCCTGATAATACATTTTTTTCTGGCTTGATGTGCCAATAGTCCATAAAACTACTGTGTTGGATGCGTAGGGGCAGGCAGCCTTATGAGACCATTTAACAGCATTCTAGACGGTTTTACAAGGACAGTACTTTGCTTGCCCTCTTTCTTAGATTACCAGGCCTCCTGTCTGCCATTTATTGCATTTAAAGCACGTTGCTATCATTAGAAAGGGCATTTACACTAGAAAAGTAGGCGTTTTTACGCGGTGTTCAGTGTTTCCATGACACTGCCGGAAATATGTGCTACGTGTTACAATGGATTTGGCACCTTCTTCTGCTACGATGGTATAATATTGTGCCAAAGTTCGGGTTCCATAGGGAGCCGATAAATCTACACCAGCGTTGTTTCTGCAAAACCTGCGTGGAAGGTCGATTTCACAAACTCAACCACCGTTTTCGAGAGCAGGAAACATTCCTAGAGCTCGCGGTATTGGTTCCAGTTTTTTTTATAAGCCGTTTAATCGTCAGCAAAATTCCTGAACCTATTGCCTCGCATACTTAACTGCCTTCGCAGGTAAACGGGAACCCATGATTGCTATATGTTGCTTGATGACAGTTAACGTTGCCCCTTACAAGTTTGCCGGTACGGTCGGCAAGTAGGGTTCCGCACAACTTGAATGCCTGAAAGCCAGTACGACTTTGTGTACTTGTTAAGTTGAGGTCTTCTGCCTCTGGGCTCAGTACCGAAGCATATAACGACATGGTCGCTTTTGTGTCAAGGGAGATCGATGGAGTGATAAACCCCAACTGTTTCAGTCGACACTGGTGCAATCTGAAATGTCAGACAGTTAATAAACCCGGTCTTCAAAAATAACGCGCTTGAAATTAAATACTACATGTGCAGGTGTAGATAACAATAGAAGAGCACCATAAATGCGAAATAATAAATTTATTAGGGACATTTCTCGTAACGATATATAAAAGTGACATGAAGTTTGCAAGCACAGAACAGAAGCGACAAGGGGATGCGGAATTTTTTGAACGGTAGGCATCAGCAATATGTTGATTGATGGGACCTGTCAATTATACACAATTCGATCCGAAATCAGATCGAAGAACATGCATTTCTTCGCGTATGCGAAGTGCATGCGGCAGCCAACAGAGAAATTGTAGCTTCCATTCCAGAACACACAGTAATTAGGCCACGGAGGGCAATCCCTGGTACATTCACAATGTGCAATTTGAGTAAGCACGAAAGACACACCACTTTTCGGAGGCCCTCCACTCGACGTTAATTATAATTTCCTTATTGGTGAAGTTACAGTGACCTATAAGTTCGATATTGCCTGCATACCATAAAGTTTTCTAGTCGACTGTTCTCAATGTTCACGAGGCGAGTGATCAAAATTGCTGCAGTATATACTACAGTATACCTGTGAAAAACTCTGCGTCTCGGGGGGATTCTTTCCTATGCAGTAAGGGGAAGGCCGACCTAAATATGGTCGACGGTCTAAAGCATTTGTCTTATCAGGAGAGGCTGAATTTGCTTGGCTTATTCCCCCTTTCTTATATACACATAAACTATAGTCTTATGTGGACGTTCCGGATAGTCCGCGGACGTCGTGAATGAGCGCACGCGCTTAGATCGTCGAAAATTTTCATTCCGTCAACGGGTCGTCCGACCGTGGAACTCGCTTCCCAGCGAGATGGTGACGGCCGGCACAATTTTTATGTTTAAAAGAAAACTTGCTCGTCTGGTTTTCGGCAGAAGTCGGTTTTTACAGCAGGACTATGCACAGCCATTTTTGTAAAAAAAAAACCCTCCGCAACTATATACAGTGACCTTATGCACTACCTTATGATTACGATTGAACTGTGACTCCATCACATTGTAAATGACTGCAATTTTATTTTTGAGTACGAATCTGCGAAAGAACTGTACATAAATAGGGTCATCAAGGGTTCTACCTCTAACCATCCAAATATATATACATATACATAAAGACAACTCTCAGGTAGCAGCTCATTCCATGGAAGCCGGACATATTTGCAAGTTTCAAAAGACCAAAATCCTCGCAACACCTGACAACCGGGTGAGCCGCGAGCCACTCAAATCCTGGTTTTCACGCCCGCAGTCCATCATTAAGCGCGATGACCTCCCGTTAACATATTCTGTTCTGAGACATTCCGTCAGCAGGGGAAACAGTCACTTGGGGATTGCGCGGACGTCCAAGTATCCTGGTGACAGCGGGCCAAATTGCCCAGTAATCCGACACGGATGATGAAATTGCGACAATTACCTATTCGTACATGGACTAACGAGCCCACATCGCCCTAATTACGACCCTTATTGGTGATCACGAGGACTGTTCATTATAATACGCAGGCGCCCCACGGCAGCTACGTACCATAAATACTACGGTTTTTGTGCCCACACTTCCGTTATCTGCAACCGTCTCTGATGATGGGTTCGGGTAAGAATCCGACACGTCAGGCCAATAGTCTTCTTGTACCAGTGATAATGATGATAATAGTAATGGTAATTTATTTAATGGCAGTTTACAGGCATCGTAGCTTCTTCTTCTGATCTGCCTCCTAGAACTTGCCTGTTGGCTTCAAAGGCAGTTTAGTCTTTCCATGTAAGATTGTTTTTTATACCCCTTATCGGCTTTCCTGCACGGAGTTGCGCTTTTTCGAGGCATGTTTTGTTCTTTGCCAGCCATGACTCTCACGCTTGTATGTCATGTTCTAGATGAAACACAACAAAGTTGCCATAAGCTCTCCCAAAATGAAACGTGTTAAAGGTAGTAAACGCCTTTTGGTCGCACGGACTACTCCCATGGCGTTTTTTTGCAATTAGTGAACCGCAGTCCTGGTTTCGCGTTGTTCTGTATCCAAACACCAAAATCCTTGTTCGAAGCTTCTGAGGGAACAGTAATGCCTTTTGGCTGATATACCCTCCTGCTATCATTTGAATGAGAGTTAGACGCAGAGGAATGACGGCATACTTCTGCATTTTGAAATCAAGAAACAATTTCTCAGACCGTCTGTGGACCTTGAAGCGTCCTCTGGTGATTCGGACCCTTAGTGGCATGCCAGAGCCTCAGTCGTCGGCGAACATTATTTTCCTGCAGTGGAGTCCTTGAAGGCTCTCATTAACGTAAAGGATGAAGAGAAAAGGTCACAGAACTGAGCTTTTAGGCACACGACTAGTCTCGTTCTCCTAATCTGACATATCATTTGTGATATCGAAGCGATGATTTCGTCCAACCAGAAACGTCCTTATCCAGTTCAGAAGATCTTCCCCGCTGCCGACGGCGCTTAGTCTATAAGGAAGGCGTTGGTGCGGGCCAATGTCGAATGCTTTATGGAAATCAATGTGCACGTCTATGACTTTGAAGCCATCTTTTATAGACCTGGTCCAGACCTCCAGACCAATTGACATAATTTGTGAGGCCGGAACGGCCTCTCCGAAAGCTCTGGTGAAAATTCTGTGCGATGTTGTTTTAAGAAAAATAATGTTGTATATCCTACTTAACTAGAACTTCGATCGTTTCGCATGGGGAACAAGTCAAGTTAATGGGCCTGAAGCTGCTTGCTGCCACCCTGATAATTCCCTTATGTAAGTAAGCGAGGTTGGCTGTCTTCCACTGCAAGGGCAGTCTCACTGACAGCTTAAAGAGAGTTAAAAAGACGTCTTGCCAGCTTCCTTCATAGTTTCTTAAATATCAACCCGGGAAACCCGGTATGTTTTACCTCTCCTAGATTACTATTCAATTTTCTTCGGCATAATGCCCTCAGACGGCCGAAAGAAACTAGAAGCATTCAGAGACGGTTTACTAGATCTTTGTCTAGAGGTGATGGCATCCAGGGTTCATACTTAGAACTATATCAAAAATACGGTCTTCGACCACTCTGGATCAGAAGACTTCAAAATAGTCTAAACTTCCTATTCAAGGTCACCCACGATCAAGATATTCTCAAAATGCATTTACTTACCAACCAAAACGACCCTAGAAACACCAGAAATAGCGAGGATATTATGATGATTCCCAAATTTACAAAGTCCCAACGGTCAAATTTCTACACCATAAGATATGCGACTATCTGGAATTCTCTTCCATGTTGTATCGGGAAAAGTCGAACCCTAATCGAATTTAAAATAAAAACTAAGAAATTCCTTTCAAATAACAATACACACTTATTTTTGAATAAGATAGGACATTTTTCAAGTCAATTCTTTGATATTGAATTTGGTTCAAAAGGGCTCTGATGATGCCAGCCGATTGAAAAATACCAGAACATAGCACTAAAAATAATCAAATTTATAAAAGATAGCATCATTCATAAACATAGAACAGATAATGATATTCTTCTATTTTCCTCCCTTTCTCCTTTTCATCAGCTATGTCACCTGACCCTAAATATCCCTTATAAAGCTAATAAAAAAATACCCTTCGATAAAGCCCTGCATATTAATCGTGCGTATGTCTATATTAAAGCCATATTAAACATATATAGAACTACATTAGGTCATAGTAAACAGTCGACCACTACTCCTATAATTTCATATTAACAAGAACAATATGATACATGATTCAATAGATTTTGACAGTTTTGATTGTGACTTACCATTGAATGCTTCTTACTCCTGATATATATTCATCTTTTCCAGCTCTTAGTCCAGACAACGATGGTAAGCCTCCTGAAAAATACGTAGGAACTGTGCGACCGCCACCTCACAGCTGGCCAGATGTAGGAAGTTCTAGAAGGCCCGACCACGTGCGTCCGCAATCTTGGAGAAGGTTCTAGAAAGCGCGCCCCTTAAGGGGCGCGCCCGCCGAACTTTTCCATATTTATACGCCAGGCACTTAGTCGCAATTCGGCTTCTCACGAAAAGTATGCATATAATAAGTTATTATAACGCTAAAATTAAGCAAGATAGCCCTGGCATAAGTTTGTTTAACTTTCCACCCTCGACCTCCCCTCCACCAATCAACAATGGCGGCCCCAACCTTGCGACTCCCTCCCTGGAAAAGCTATAAATACGGGCGAGGATTAGGCCCCAACAACTCCCGTGGCCGGTCGCCGCTCTCCGGACGAGGAACCCCTGCCGCTCTCTCCGCTGGATCCCAGAGTTCCAAGCCGCCCTGTGGACAATCCTCCCAGATTTAGCTTATTTTTGTAATTAGGACTCTCCCCTTAGTTTCTTTTTGTACATAGGTCGTTCAGTAAAGCAGTGACTAGTCTGAATTATCCTGTTGGGCCTCGTTGTCCACTCTTCTCACTAGACGGGATCGTTACCACATCGGGGACGTTACAATTTGGTGGCAGCGGTGACCACTATGTCGGACAACCTTGTTGGCAAATTGGTCAAGGAGCTACAGAAACTGGGTCTGCAGCAGCCGTCTGCGCCCTAGCCAGAGAAGCTGACGCGAGTTGCCGACTTCAGTCGATGGGAGGCACGGATGAAGGATTACCTGCGCGGGGTGGATGCTTTGTCGCAAAGCGGAACCATCTTGGGCCTGCTGGACGATGAAGTGTACGACCTCGCACAGTCATCAGGCATATCCACCTCCCTGCCGGCGTCAGAAATCCTGGATGGCCTTCGTGCAATTCTCGGGGCGTCTGTGCACCCGTGGATTCTGCAATCAGAGTTCCGGAGCCATTTTCAACAGCCGGGCGAAGGAGTTCTCGACTACCAGCAGGCCCTTCGTCTCCTGGGACGGAAGGCTTTTCCCACCATGGATGCTGCAGCCCTCACTCAGCGGGTGTTGGAGCAGTTCGTCGCTGGTGTCAGGGATCCTGAAGTCCGGAAGGCCTTGATGCGGGGGCAACCGGCTACTCTCGACAAGGCCCTTGACCTGGCACGTCAGGAGGAGGCGCTTCAGGCAGTCTGCGATCGACCTGCTCAACCTCTCCTCGGCATCGCTGCTGTCCGGGCGCAGACGGTTCGTGACTCTGCTACTCAAACGCCCTGGCGACCCTGCTCCTGCGGCTCCTACTACTCCCGACAGAACCAGTGGCGTCGTCCACCGCCCCGTCGCCCCAATGCTCCCCAGAACCGTCGGCCTGTCCAGTCAATCGACGTCGGCCCACAGGACAGTAGCGGTAAGTACTACATTGTTTCTGATTCAGCTGTTTCATGCGTCGGTCCTACTATTTGCCCTTTAGTTGAAGGCTTTGTAGGCAGCACTAGTCTTTCATGCCTAGTAGACTCAGGCGCTGGTTGTTCTTTGATACGTCAGCAGTCCTTTTTAGAGTTAAAACGAGGATTAGGTATTGTGATAGGCCTAATTTTAAACTTCATACTGCAAATGGCACTCATCTTAGGCATACTGGTCTTGTGGAGTTTTCTCTTGACCTCTCAGGTCTTAGTTTTACCCACCAGTTTGTCGTGTCCCCGGACATCACCTGGGACTGTATAATAGGTGTTGACTTTTTAAACAAGTTTAGATGTTCCCTTGATTTCGGTAGGCATTCTTTACGTGCCGCCACGGTCAGTGTGCCTTTTCTTCGCAGTCTCCCTGAGCCGCGGAGGGTACCCACTTGTGCGGTTAGTGTTGATGTTAAGGACCTAGTCCCGGCACACCTCGACGAAGGTAGCGCCCGGAAGCTCAGCCAGTTAATAAGCGAATTTAAGGACATCTTTGACTGGGATGGCAAGTCCACGGGGAGGACAGGTGTGACGGAGCACTGCATCGACACGGGGGATGCGAGACCAATCCGGGTTCCTTCCAGGCGACTTCCAATCTTCTACCAGAAGGAACTAGATGCTCTTATCAATGATATGCTTAGTCGTAATATTATAAGGCCCTCTCAGTCGCCCTGGTCATCCCCCATTGTACTTGTAAAGAAGAAGGACGGGTCAATGCGATTATGCATTGACTATAGGAAGCTAAATGCAGTGACTAAGAAAGACTCCTTTCCTCTCCCACGAATAGATACCACGTTAGACGCTCTCGCTGGAAATGTTATGTTTTCGACACTTGATTTAGCTTCGGGCTATTGGCAAGTTGAAGTGCGTCCCTCTGATAGGGAAAAGACTGCCTTCGCGGTCCCCTCTGGCCTTTACGAGTTCGAAGCAATGCCCTTCGGCCTAGCCAATGCCCCCAGCACTTTTCAGAGGTTGATGAACCAGGTGCTTGCACAGTTAATACCAACCTCGTGTTTAGTATACATGGATGATATAATCGTCCTCGGAAAGGACTTTGATAGCCACCTTAGTAACATCAGGGCTGTGTTTAGCAGTCTCCGACAGGCAAAGTTAACCCTGAAGCCCTCCAAATGTGTTTTTATAAAGCCCCGCGTGAAGTTTTTAGGCCATGTAGTCTCAGCCGCGGGGATAGAGACTGACGACGAAAAGGTCACACAAATCCGTGAGTGGCCCACTCCCTCCGATGTGACGGAGGTCCGCAGTTTCCTAGGCCTCGCCTCCTATTACAGGCGATTCATTAAGGATTACGCCCAAATTGCCGGGCCGCTCCACAAGCTTACGCAGAAAAACGTAAAGTTCAAGTGGACTGCTGACTGTACCAACAGCTTCCAGACGCTAAAAGATAAGCTATGTACCACCCCAATTCTAGTCTTTCCTGATATTAGTAATGATGCCGGAAAGTTCATCCTGGATACCGATGCCAGCGACACCGCAATCGGCGCGGTTCTCTCTCAGCAACAGCTAGACGGTACCGAGCGTGTCATCCAGTATTTAAGTAGATCGTTGACCAAGGCAGAACGGCGCTACTGCGTGACTCGAAAAGAGATGCTGGCCCTCACGCACTTTGTGGAAGAATGCCGGCCATACCTTCAGTACCGGCCGTTCGTCGTACGCACTGACCAAGTGCCTTGACTTGGCTAAGAAATTTTAGGAATCCTGAAGGGCAGGTAGCTCGTTGGCAAGAGAAGTTAGCGGAATACGACTTCGAATGCGTGTTCCGACCTGGTCGCCAACATGGCAACGCGGACGCTCTTTCGAGGAAACCGCATCGCCCTCACGGGGAGTGCCCGTCATGCACGGACATTGCCATCTCGGCTATCGCTTTGCAAAGCGACCAATGCCTTCTCTGGGCCGCAGCCCAAAGGGATGACCCTCATATCCGTCCCATTTATGATAGGAAGGTCAGTAACGGTAGGCCCCTTAATAAAGCTGAGCTAGCGGGTTGTAGTTATGAGACGCGATGCTTGCATAGCCTTTGGGACAAATTGTTTATCGAAAATGGTGTTCTATTCTATCGCGACAACGAACAATACCCAAGGCGAGTCGTCCTACCGCTTTCGATGGTGGACGACGTGGTCAAAAGGATGCATGCGGAACTAGGGCATTCCGGCATCCATAAGACCGAGTGGGCACTCCGCCGGCGTTACTACTGGCCGAATAAGAAGACCGACATACAGAACGTTGTCCGGTCTTGTGAGCGGTGTTTAGGCTTTAAGTCCCCCGGGCACTCCTACAGAGCCCCGCTACAGCCAATTCAGACAGGCTACCCCAACGAGAGGGTAGCGGTAGACTTAGTTGGCCCGATCGCGCCATCCGCGAGGGGAATTGGTTTATTCTCGTCATGGTAGACTGTTTCACCAAGATGGCTGAGGCAGTACCCCTACCAGATGCGTCTGCCCCCACAGTAGCCCGAGCCATCTTCAACGGGTGGATCTGCCGCTGGGGAGCCCCGGACCAACTCCACTCAGACCGAGGCTCGTCGTTCGAGAGCAGCGTCGTACACGAGTTGTGTAAGGTTATGAAAATTAAGAAAACACGCACTACTGCGTACCACCCACAAGGCAACGGCCAGGTGGAAAGGACGAACCGGACGCTGATCAATCTGTTGCGGGCATTTGTCGACCGGAACTCAGCACTCACATGGGACGAAGCCTTGCCGGCGTGCATGTTGGCTTACCGATCCACGGTAAATGCCACTACGCAACAAACGCCGTTCTTCCTAACGTGCGGGAGGGAGATGCAACTCCCCGAAGATCTCCATCTACCCCCTAAACATCCGGTTGAGAACGTCGACACGTACGCCTCGAGGATGCGGAAAACTCTGCGCATAGCATCGGAGGAAGCGCGATTGCACCTCCAGGAAGGTCAGCGCTGTCAGAAGGCATTCTATGATCGCCTAGCACACGGGACGCCCTATCAAGAGGGAGATATCGTGTGGATGCGGAATTTCGCCCCATCGCCAAGTGTACCTCACAAATTTAATCCAGCATGGATAGGCCCGTATGTAGTTTGAAAGGTCCTCTCCGACACGACTTGTGTCGTTCGCAGCCAGGACAGACCGTACTCTGAAGAGTTTACGGTACACTTCAATCGCTCAAAGCCAGGCCCATCGACAGAGGAGGACACAGACCTTGCCGACTCGGGACCCAACCCGTCTCACGAATACAACGACCAACTAGTCGAACAGTATTTATAAGTCCCCCCAGAAGGCGGTTACGCTTCGGCTGAGGTATTCAGGGATGGACACCCGATAGCGAAGACTGTCGAAGTACCCCCAGATGGTGGACCCGCCATCGAACAAGATGATTCTGCTGAGGACAGCAGACCCTCTTCGCAAGGGGGAGCAATGTAGGAAGTTCTAGAAGGCCCGACCACGTGCGTCCGCAATCTTGGAGAAGGTTCTA